CTCCTCCTCCGTCATACTGGAAACTCTTCAGCTTAACTCCCGATTCCCGTTCTGCTACTGGGAGCCAGGCTATGAAGGCTTCGAAAGCCATGTCGCGGCTTGGAAGGTTGAGATGCCAGACATAACGAGTGGCGGTGTCGATGAACGTGATGGTGTAGTTGTATGCTTCTTGTCCAGGTTCGTGATTGTACAAGATGTCGCTGTACACTTTCTCAAGTGGTGCGTAAGCTGGTGCGCTCGGGTTGTGGTGAGAGACAAAGGGGTGATGCGGTAAGTCAGCTTCTGGGCAGGTGAAGCAGGTTCCTCTCATTCGTCAAAGTTCTCTGCCGTCGGGTAGGAGTAGTGAATCTTTGTCAAGAACGTCTGTTCGTATCGTGTTGTTTAACGTTGTGTTGATCAGATGTCCCATTCTTTTGTGCCAGAGATCTTCGTCGGTGCGATGTCCGGGTGAGCGTCTGTATAGGTCGGAGTTGGAATAAAAACTGGCGGTGATATTCGCACTTCGGTGAACTTCTCGAGGAGTTGGGCTCAACTGCTGCGCAGGAGTCGGTGGGGTGTCATCGTCGATTGGGGCTGGTGCAGTTGAAGGACCCGCGATTGGTGCCGATGTTGTTTCTGTTGCTGCTGGTGTTGTCTCTACTGCAGTCGATGTTGTCTCTGCTGCTGCCGATGTTGTCGCTGCTGCTGCTGGTGTTGTCTCTGCTGTTGCCGATTGTTGTATCGTTGCTAATGCTCTTGTTCGCTCCGCCTCAAGAATGGTATGCGAGTACCAGAAGCCTTCGCGACTGAAGTCGGGGTCGAGGTCCGGTGGATGTGTCCAGGAGGTGAAGGTGACGATCCCATCGCTGTCAGCTGTGCCAAGGTCTGGGACGAAGTCGAGGACGAAGACGTTGTTCTTCAGGACTGCCTTGCCGATGTCGAGACCTCCTCTTCCGTGGTACAACTTGAATTCCTGAGTGGTGCTATCTGCTTCGAGGTGGATGCCTTTCGCCATCAGCTAGCTGACGCTCGGTAAGTTGTAGCCGAGTCCCTCCGCGATTAATACCTTTGACATCTGAAGTATAACGTTTGTCTCCCTTGACTGAATTTGAACCACACCTTGTCGTCGTATGCGCAGGTTCTGATTGTTGGCGATGGTAATGACGACTTCGCGTTGAAGTTGGTGCTCGCGCTGAACGAAACGTCCCGAAGAGCACATGTGCTGCCCGCATCAACTATCCAAGAACCCAGTATTTTTCCCGGACGGCTCACTTTGGGCAATGGCTGCGTATGTTGGGTTCGGCTCCAGTGTCTCGCAGCGAGGAGTGGATTCTTCGAGTTGTTCTTCTGGTGAATAGTACGGTGGTGATTCAGTCATGCAGGAGTCTGACAATCTTGCCATGCAGCTGACGATATTTCTTGCTCCTTGTGCAGGTTGTGTTGACGGCGATGTCGTTGAGGACTGCAGTTGACTTGTGGGGTTCGCTTGCGTGGACGTTACTTGACTGCTCGAAGGACGAAGCTGGCGTTGCGGTGGTGTTGACTGCTGTCGATTCGGGCAGTGTGTGCGAGGGTGTCCCGAGGTCTTACAGAGATGACAAAACGAAGGTACGGATTTTGGTTGATGCCGGTTGTTGTTGTTGTTGTGGCGCCGTTGAGTGTGAAACGCAAATTCGGGAACTGGCGTTTTCTTCTTGTGCCGCTCCTCTTGCAGGTCCATGTCTTGCTGCTCGGCGTGAATTTCGGCGCAGAGTGCTGCTTCAGAGATCTTCCAGTGAGCTCGGAGTATGGCGCGAGTGGAGCGCCAGTGTGGATCAAGACCGCCGATAACAACTGTGACGAAGGCGTCGTCTGATATCGATCCTCCACATCGAAGGAGATTGTCGCGCAATTCGCGGCAGCGACTAATATACGCCATCCCCTTTTCGCCCGGTTTCATTTCCACTGTTGTCAGTTGTGCCATTAACTGACTTTGGTTGATGCTGTCTGTTGCTTGATACAGGTTCTTCAGGTGGTTGTATGCAAGCTCAGCGGAGTTGCCCGGTCCTCGATAAGACCGGATGTTCTGCTGTTGGGTTGGCGTGACGTTTTGTAGTAGAATTGTGTACGCCATCATTGACTGATAGGTGTACTGCTGCTTGTCATATTGTGTCTCGTGAGTTGGGTATGGCAGGGACCCGTCGAAGAAGCCAAGAATCTGCGCGCCCTCCATCATCAGCTCGAATTCGAATGACCAGGTGAAGAAGTATTTCCGTCGAACGGTCTTGATGTCTGCAGTTTCAGGATGTGTGCAAACTGCGACTGAACTTGAAGTGCGTCCAATGTCTTTTCTTGCTCAGGCGAAGTCTGCTAGCGCGGCATGAAGCTGACAGAACCGCGCTGGGGCTCGTACGGAGCAAAGGTAGGCTGCTGCTGTTGATTTCCTCGCGCGTAGGATGACCCGTCGAGGCTCATGGGCGTCACGTCGTTGTTGTTGTTGCTATTGTTTGACTGCGCAGGTGCTCCTTGCTGGTGCTGTTCGTAGAAGGACATGAAGGAGAAGAATTTCTCCATCATGCTTGGGTCGAAGCTCGCAGCTTGGTTTGTGGGAGTTCCGGTACATGTTGCCATTGGTCTTGTTGCCGTACCCTCCTCTGTCTGTAGGCCAGAGGCAAGAGGTGGAGTAGGAGTAGTTTCAGGGGAGCCGTTGGAGGAGCTCCTTTCTTTTTGTGTTGCCATGTATTCTGACATTATAGATAACTTGATAGTAGTTGAGTTCCCCCTAGTTGCTCTCATACCTTGTTGGGCTGAGAATAATAGTCCTTAGGATCTTTGCAAGGGTGAACTCCGGGTAGAACTGATGTAGTAGCGGATGTGTTTTTTTTTAATGAAGAGTTGTGAACCACCTTGCGCTAGTATGTGAGGGCAAAGTTGATTGATTAAAGCAAAGAGATACAATATTATATAAGAGTACAAGGAATTCGAAGAGATACGGTTGCAACTACTTTACTGCTGTTGCGGTTCGATACAGTGACGACTCGGGCAACTGCTCTGTAACGAGTCAGTTGTCTGTCCTTGTTGTCGTGCTGTACTTGTCAGGTCAAAGGTCGCTGACCTTTGACTATCGCGTAACCTCTAGCAACCGCTCAACCTACGAGGGTTGACTCGCCGGTGCTTCGATATACTTCGCTTCGCTTCTGACTTGGTGTTTTGACATGACAGAGGCTCTTAGAATCAATTGTTTCCAATAGTACAACAGCTTGTATTAGCTTGCATTGAAGTTTTTGCCTCAATAGAACAGAACATCCGAAATTGACATTCGTTTATTTAGGGGCATGCGCAAAACAAGCCAGGAACAACCACCCTGAGTCGCAGCAGCAACTGCTTCAGCATCCGCTACGCCGCCATTTACGTCCAACAGGAAGCGTTACAGGTCTTGCTGCAAGGGAACACGGGAACACACGTTACGTGCATCATGCTGCTGACGAGTCGGCATTGAATGCGCACATGTCTGTCTACTGTACACGGCGATGTGTGTGGATCACATCCCGTTTGCGGACAGTGTTTTGTGGCGAAGGGGCTGAATGGGGTTTCTTTGCTGACCGCGCATGAGAGCTTCATTGCACACCTATGTCTGAACAGAATTCCACTTGACTCGAAGAAAATATTTGTGTAAACAGCTACCAGGGACCAGCGTTTAGGGCGGGTCCGAAGTGACCCTCGACATCCGTCCGTCATCCAATTGATAACGGTGGCGGATGACAGGGGATGACGGATGGATGTCAGATGGATGTCGAGGCACTTCGGACACAATGCCGGCGACATAACTGCCCAAAAAAATGCAGGCCGGCACTGTTGGCGCCGGCAAGGGCAGACCAGAGAGAATATTGAAGGTTTAATTTTGAGTCACGAATTTCGCAAAATTGTTTCGTCACCCTGTACAAGTCACGAAGGGCTGTCGCTTGCCCAGAAATACTTTCGCCATGGTTCCCCTCAGATTCTGTTATCAATAATTTGGTTGGTCAACCTCCACGTTGGCGGCACCCTTTGAAGGCAATGATTACACAGAGCTGAATGACGGATGGATGTCGGATGGATGTCAGATCCCTTCGGACACAATGCTGGCCTAAAAATTCACCTACTACCCTGACATCCGTCGACATCCATCGACATCCGTTGACATGTCACTTCGGACACACCCTCACTTGTGAGCTGCCAATGCTTCAAATTACTCTGTTTCTCCCACGCTTCCTTTCCGCGACTGCACGGAGATGTCAACGATGTACTGTACCCCTAATCTATCGACATCAAGGCTGACTTGATTCGTGTTCCAGACCTGGCTTACAATACTGTTGCGGGGACACTGCTGCGCAGAGGAGTGTACACAGAATGTCAGGTATTTCTGGAAAATGGACCTAGCTCCTGAGTTTCCGTACTTATGCGACAATCTTTCCTCCATGGCCCTACACTTGCGCCCACCAAATTCATGCACACCTCGTTTCTCCGACCCGTTCCCGTCCCCGCCCGACACGAAACCAGCAGCATTTGGCCCTCATCGGAATTGGGAATCCACAAGTCACACCCGATCAACCAATGCAACGCGCTACGCAGGGCAGGGCACTGATCCAACAACCTCGCGTACAGGCGAGGAAAAACGGAGCCGTCTGTTGGTCTGACCTGGCCGTTAGCATGAAACGGGGCAGTGTTACTGTACGTGTGCGTCGGAAAGCTCGCACCCCTTGCCCCTATCCACAATCCCCGTCGAAATGCGCACAACACGTCCAAGTGGGAATGCCAAGCGCTTTACCCATCTCTACAACAAACTGTAACGTGCTCACTGTGTGTACACGTATTTCAGATCGGGAACTCCCCTCCCGTCTGTAAATAGAGGGAGCTTCAAACCAGTCATACAGTATCGTCATCCAGCAATTCCACAATTCCATCAAGTCATCTCCCAGTCCTGTCTGCTTCGCTACTCTGACCAGCAGCTCCGAGCGCACATCGCACCACTACCGCATTACAATCGACCAAGGACTGAGAGAATGAAGGGCGGCGCGTTTCTGCTTCTGCTGCACGCATGTCTACTACTAGCTTCGCATCGCCTCGCCGCCGCGAATAGCCGTCGCGAGCTGCAAGGTCAGCGCGCCCGTCTTTCGCGCGGCATTATCTATGCGAATAATACGGGCGGAACTCTTCGGAGCAACTAACTCGCGCCCCTGCCCCCCCTCCCTTTTTCCCTTGCCTTCTCAGCGTCGTGCCCCGCGGGCGTGGTGTGTCCGACCGGCGCGACGTGCGCGGTGGACGGCAGCGGATACCCTTTCTGCAAGTGCGCGGCGGGGCAGGCCATCATCAACGGCGTATGCGCGCCGGCCGCCAGTTGGGCGGAGGTCGGCACCAACGTGGTGATCTACAACAAGGCCAAATACGCCAATACGCCCACCTCGCTCGCGCCCGCCGTGCTGCGCGGCGCGGCGCCGAACTCGAGCGCGTGCGTGAACCTGCCGGCGGCGTTCAACGGCACGATAGGGTCGGTGCGCATCATGTGGAACGTGAACGACGGCGTGGCGGACCACCTGGTGTGCGGCAAGTTGTTTTTCTGGGACAAACCCAACTGCTGCTGCTCCGGGTCGGGTTATCAGATCCCCGGCGGGTGGACGACCGTCGACCCCAACAAGTTCACCTACACCACCACCAGCGTCTCGTGAGCCGCTCCCCGCCCCTCCACACGCCCGCGCGCCCTGCGCGCTGCCGCTCCCTGTGCACTCGCATGCCTTTCGGTCACTGACACTCCTCGTCTGCTTCCATGCTTGCTGTTGACCGCGTTGACTGACTCTGGCTGCATTGACCGCGTTGACTGACTCTGGCTGCGTTGACCGCGTTGACTGACTCTGACTGCGTTGACCGCATTGACTGACTCTGGCTGCGTTGACCGCATTGACTGACTCTGGCTGCGTTGACCACATTGACTGACTCTGGCTGCGTTGACCGCATTGACTGACTCTGGCTGCGTTGACCGCGTTGACTGACTCTAGCTGCGTTGACCGCGTTGACTGACTCTGGCTGCGTTGACCGCGTTGACTGACTCTGGCTAAGTTGACCACGTTGACTGACTCTGGCTGCGTTGACCGCGTTGACTGACTCTGGCTGCGTTGACTGACTCTGGCTGCGTTGACCGCGTTGACTGCGTGCAGGGCGACGAGCGGCATCATCGCGACCGCCAGGTCCATTTCGTGCCAAGCCGCCATCGCGACACCCACCTACCCCTGCGCCGTGACGACGTGCCCCGTCAACGCCACGTGCTCCGTGGTCAACAGTGCCGCCGTGTGCACATGCAACGCTGGGTTGACCATGGTCAACGGGCAATGCGTTGGTGAGTCAGCGTCGTGATTGGCAGTGCGGTGCAATGCGGTGTGGGCTCCCTGCAATCCGCGTCCTCACTCTTTTCTACGCCTTCTCCCCCTTCTGCTCCCACCAGTGCCCAACCCGTGCACGGGGTACACCTGTCCCGCCAACTCAGCATGCTCCAACGTCAATGGCGTCGCCACGTGCACGTGCAATACTGGTTACCAGATGGTCAACGGCCAGTGCGTTGGTGAGTTTAACTCCATTCTTCTCATTTTACCAGTGCCCATCCCTCCTTTTCCCCACCCCTCTTTCTTTGTTCCCATTCACCTCTTCCACTTTCTCCAACTCCTCATCTCCACTCTCTCCCTCTCTCTCTTCCCCGTTCTCCTCTCCTCACCTCCAATTTCTCGCTTGCCTCCGGCCAAATCGCTGCTTTATCCCTTGCTCTCCCATCTCCCAAACGCCAGTGCCCAACCCGTGCACGGGTTACAGCTGTCCCGCCAACTCAGCATGCTCCAACGTCAATGGCGTTGCCACGTGCACGTGCAACAGTGGTTACCAGATGGTCAACGGCCAGTGCGTGGGTGAGTCCAACTTTTCTCATTAATCACCACCTCTCCCATTCAACCCTCCAGTCTCTCCGTGCCATTTGTCTCTCCTTCCCGAGATGCTCAACGGCCAGTGCGGCGGTGAGTGCTGCCGGCGATGTGCCTTGCTGCACGTTCAACGGCGCGAGCACCAAGCGTGGCGAATCCATCACCTCCCACCCCCTTGCAATTTCTGATCCCCATGGGCTCTCCCGCTCTCTCTCTCTTCCCCTCTCCATTTCATCTTATGCCGTCCCGTTTGCTGTCTGTCCCCTTCTTGCCCCTGCGCCCCCTTCTCCCTAACTCCCCTCTCCCTCTCTTCTCCCCTCCTCTCCCCCGCCTCTCGTCGCCTCGCAGTGCCGGACCCGTGTGCGACGGCCAACTGTCCGCTCAACTCGGTGTGCAGCAACGTCAACGGCGTCGCCACGTGCACGTGCTCTGCTGGATTCCAGATGGTCAACGGCCAGTGCGCCGGTATGCTCCCCTGCTCTCTGCTTCGTCTCTTGCTCCCTTCTGCTCCTTTGCTGGTGCTGTTTCCTGCCCTCGCCAACTTTCTTCCCTCCCTCCCCCTTTTCTCGGCGTTCCCCCCCTCGTTCGCTGCACCTTCCTCCCGCCCTCCTCCACTCTTCCCACTGCCTGACGCTCTTCCCTTCCTCTCCCCCTCTCCCTTCCCCTGCACGCCTCTATTTTCTCCGCCCTCCCCTGCGAGCAGCGCTTCCCCCCCCGGACCCGTGTGCGAGCACCACGTGTCAGGCCAACGCCAACTGCACCGTGGTCAACGGCGCCGCCACCTGCACGTGCCTGCCCGGCTTTGACCCGGTCAACGGCGCCTGCGTAGGTCAGTCACATTTCCCGCGCCCTTCTCCCCCCTGCACCTGCTGCTTTCTTGCTCTTCCCTTGGCTGTTTTCCACTCAGTACCTCTGCTGTTCTGCTCCCCCTTCTCTCATCTCCGCCTCCGCGCTTGTTGCCGCCTTGTCTCCCGCTGCCGCCCTCCTACCAGCACCCGACCCATGCGCGGGATTCTCATGCCCCGCCAACTCAGCATGCTCCAACGTCAACGGCGTCGCCACGTGCACGTGCAGCGCCGGTTACCAGATGACGGACGGCCAGTGCGTCGTGCCTGCGCGTGAGTTACTCTCCTTCTCGCTCCCCGCGCCCATGCCTGCACGTGCCTGCGCGTGAGTTACTCTCCTTCTCGCTCCCCGCGCCCATGCCTGCACGTGCCTGCGCGTGAGTTACTCTCCTTCTCGCTCCCCGCGCCCATGCCTGCACGTGCCTGCACGTGAGTTACTCTCCTTCTCGCTCCCCGCGCCCATGCCTGCACGTGCCTGCACGTGAGTTACTCTCCTTCTCGCTCCCCGCGCCCATGCCTGCACGTGCCTGCACGTGAGTTACTCTCCTTCTCGCTCCCCGCGCCCATGCCTGCACTGCGTGTTGCTTATACATGCACGCTCGCACATGCGTGTCGACCCTTCTTCCCTCACCCATCCCCACCAACCCCTCGTTTCGCCCTCCCCCTGGTCCATCCGCCGCAAACTCTTGTTTCCCCGGTCCCTCTGCGCACCCCCTGATGTATGCAGCAATAGCCGACCCCTGTGCGTCGACCACGTGTCCCGCCAAGGCCACATGCAGCAGCGTGAATGGAGTGGCCACGTGTGTGTGCGCCGTGGGCTACACCATGGTCTCCGGCGCCTGCCAGCGTACGCCCATCGCCTCTCCCCTCCCTCCCTCTCCCTTCCTTTGCTCTCTCCAGCTCTGCCCGTTCTCTGCTGCCACAACCTGTCTCATTCCCCACTGCACTCTCTCTGATCCCCCCTGTTTCACCATGCACACCACTTCCCCCCTCTCCACTCCCCCCCTTCCCTCCCACCAGCGGCCGCGCCCTGCTCGCTGGTGACATGCCCGGCCAACTGCACGTGCTCCTCCGCCAATGGCGTCGCCAAGTGTAACTGCGCCGGTCAGTGCCGCCCCCCTGCACCCCCCTCGCCCTCCCTACTCCACTGCTTTCCTCGCCTCGTCCTCTCACCTCCCTGGCCCCTCCTGCCGCCTCCCTTGCTCACTTCCCTCTGCAATTTCTCCCCCCCCCCCACCCTCTCCACCCTGTGCACATGTGGTGCTGAGCAGACCTGTGCTACGGGGTGAGGTGCCCCGACGTCTCCAAGTGCACCTACATGCTCGGCGCGCCTGTCTGCACGTGCCCTCCACCCTACACGCGCCTCATTGACAACAAGTGCTCCAACGGTCAGTTGTGCTCCTCCCTGCCCTCCTGTCCTGTGTCCTGCTGCCCTCCTCCCTGCTGCTTGCAAGTGCATGCTTCCATCCCTTTCCTGCGCTCTCCCTTAGTCCTTCACTCCCTTCTCCCCTCACTCCACAACTCCCCCCACGCCTCGTGCTCGCCGTGCCTCGCCCGCTCACAGCGACGCTGGCCTTTTCCAACTATCTGGACAACCACAATGCGGCCAGGGCAGCTGTGGGCGCCATCCCCCTCGTGTGGAACGCCACCCGTGAGTGCCCGCCTCTCTCGTGCTTCTGTGTCCGCCTCTTGCCAACACCATTCTGCATTCGTCTGCCGCTCAACGCACGGCCACTGCTGTGTGCTTGCACTGGGTTGTCGTGCTCTCATGCGCCCTCTGCACGGACTGCATGCACCTCATCCCCTCTCCACACCTGCACCCTTCACCCCCTCTCCACACCTGCACCCATCGCTGCCGCCTCTTAAACCCCAATTCTCATTCCTTCCACTTCCTGCCCCCCTCATCTCGCAGTGGCAACGAGGGCGCAGGCGTGGGCGACAGCGCTGACGAACAGCACGTACAACTGCGGGCTGTCGCACGGCGGCAACAGCGGCGAGGGGCAGAACCTCTCAGGCGCCAGCCCTTCTGGGTGGGCATCAGATGCGGCGGCTGTGAGCTGGTGGGTGGGCGAGGGCGACCTGTACTCGTACGCTGTCTTCTCTGGCGGCTGCAGCACCGGCAACTGGGCCGACTGCGGCCACTACACCCAGGTGAGCTGCATGGGGAAGAGGATTTCAGGGAGGAGGAGAGATGGTGCTGTGAGGTGTGCTGCTTGCAGAGGCACGCTGTGTGTTGCACCATGCAGCTGTGCCTCGTCGGTCATCTGCTCCCTCGTTCCTCTTCCCTGCAGGTCATTTGGAACAACACGCGCACCGTGGGCTGTGCCAAGGCGTCGTGTGGCACGAGTGCGGACGTGTGGGCGTGCCATTACTACCCACCCGGCAACTACGGTGGCCAGCTGCCCTATGGTCAGTGCTCCACGCCCTTGCCTCCCTCCACACTTGCTTTTCCCACTGACCTATTCCTTCACTGTCGCCCATCTACGCACTTGATCCAACTGTGCTTCCATCGTGCTCCCACCTCTCCCTTCAACTCTTCCCCACCTCTCTGCCTCCCTCCCCTACAGTGCAAGACCCGTGCTACCGGGTGGCATGCCCGTCCACGGCCACATGCACGGTGCGGTACGGGCAGCCCATGTGTGAGTGTGGGGCGGGGCAGGTGCTGGTGAACAACGCCACGTGCCAGCCCGACCCGTGCGCCAGCGGCACCACCACGTGCCCCGGCAACCTCGTGTGTGACGGCTCCTCCGGCTCCGCCCAGTGCGCCTGCCCCACCGGCCTCGTGCCCATCACCTCCGACACCTGCGTCCGTGAGTGCCCCTCTCTCCCCTCTCCCCTGCCTGCCCACTCCGCCCCCTTGGTCATTCGTCCCTTGTGATTCATCATTCGCCATTCTCCACCACCCCCTTTCCTCACACCACACTTTCCCTCCCTCGCCCCTGTGGCCTTCCCTTCCTATTGCTTGCAGCGCCGGCGTGTGTGGGGGCGGTGTGCCCAGCACAGGCGACATGTGCAGTGGACGGGAGTGGGTACCCGTTCTGCCAGTGCCCCACGGGGTGGTACCTGGGCAGCAACGTGTGTGTGCAGGGCACGCCCGCAGCTGTGTCAGCCACGAGCCTGGCCATCTACAACACGGCGTCCTACACCAGCACGGCCCCCGCGCTGGGCCCCACGCTCGTGCGCACAGGGCTGCCCGCCAACTCGTCACGCGCCAGCTGTGTGGACATCCCCGGCGGCATTGCGGCGGCGTCGCTGCGCGTGCTGTGGAACGTGCCGGACAGCACGGGGGCGCCCAAGCAGTCGTGCGGGCTGCTGTGGTTCTGGACCAGCGCCTCCTGCTACGGCTCCGCCACCGGCTACTACCGCCCCGCCGGCGATGTCACCAACTTCGCGTCAGTGCCCCGCCCCCCGCCCTGACCCCACCACCCCATGCCCTGCCATGCCCTGCCCCCTGCCCCTTGTCCCCCGCCTGTGCTTCATCTCACTGAATGCCAGCAGCAGCTGTCCTTTTCCTAAGGTGGTCCATTGCCCTCCCCTCTCGCTCACACCCATCGCTCTCTGCTGTGCTGTTTCCCCTCTCGCTCACACTCATCGCTCTCTGCTGTGTTGTTTCCCCTCTCGCTCACACTCATCGCTCTCTGCTGTGCTGTTTCCCCTCTCGCTCACACTCATCGCTCTCTGCTGTGCTGTTTCCCCTCTCTGTGCATGCAGCACCACGTCGGGCAATGTGGCCCTCGTCAAGGCCGTTGCCTGCGCCATCTGATCTCACCGCCCCCTGCTGCCACCATGCACCCACGGCACCTCACAGCATCCTTTGGCCCTCAGCTGGACAAGTGCCGACCCGTCTGCTGAGGCTCATCTGTACCATACGTGATTCATTCATTCAATCCCGCTAAATGTGTTGCCTGGCTTCATTTTTTTTTACGCCTCATGTGTATAGCTGTTTTTGATTACTTGGAAATAATGGAGTACCGCTGAAACATTTACATTTTCCAATGTGCTGTGTGAGTGGGTGCAGTTACCTGGGCACAATGTACAGTAGCACTTGGTTAAAAAAAGGAAATGGTAGAACGACTGGTATAACAGGCCGCCAGAGTGTCACCTTGGACAAACGAGGCACAGAGGGGCAGGTGAGGCACAGAGGGGCAGGTGAGGCACACTATGTTGTAGGGTGGGTCTAATTACCAGGGTCCATGGAGGTATAAAAATTGGTCTAGGGTTCCTTATGATACGGTACCGTATTCCTCAATGGGGCCAAATGAACCAGTGGGGTTGGGCAGCAAGAGACCATGTATTCGCTTCACACCCTCCTCTTCCTCCAGATGGTCACCCTGCAAACCAGCTGTTGTCTCTATGGCCCCACCCACGCCTAGGCATGTCATGAGAGGCACCCCTTGTGCTGCTTGCCTGGCGTGCATGTGAGTGTTAACTAAGGCAAGAATGATGAGACTAGGTCAAGGTTGGGGTACAAGGTTAGAGTGTCTAGAAAGTTTCTGTACCCCCTAAGGCTAGCCCCAATATAGCCTAGATAATGATATGCATATGTTTTGACACACCCCCATAGGCGAAATGGGGGTTAGCCAGAGCAAGCAACGGTCACAAGACCACTCAAAAGAAGAAACAAAACATAGCTCAGGGCCGGTCACAACGTCACCACACACACTAAGCACAATCAACCGGCCACAAGGCCAATCCACATGCAGAGGTATATATGCAACAAGAACAGAACATTGATCTCTAGCTAGCAAGAGTAAGCATGCAGGTATATCTATATAGATCACAGTACCGTTTGGCCCCGGATATAAGCGCATATGCGCTTATAATAAGTAATGATTTTTTAGGGGTGGCGCTTGTAATTGAGGAACGGCCATAAGCGCCGGCGCTTATAAAATGTCAAATTCCAATTTTGGTTTTCGAAGTATCAAAGTGAAGCCCACAATAAGGCGAACACAACTGTGAACGTTGCGCATGGGATCGTGCATGAAATTCCGGCGAAAACTGCCGCGACTCGATTTCCCACCGCACAGAACCTGTCCTGGAGCAACGCACCTGCCAGTGATGACGTGCATCCTGGCGTGCGGCCCAATAGGGTTTACATGCGCTGCCAGGGTGCCACATTTCACCCGAACTTTCGAGAAGGGGGTGGCATATTCCTGCCAGCGCAGCAGATACGTGCCGCGATTCCCTCCTCTGCGGGTTTAGGCAGGGGGGGATCTGACTATGCCTGAAGAGGAACTCGAGCCGCACACCAGAAGGGGTCCCCTCCAAACCCTCATTTCTTCGCCTTCTCTTCCACTTTTTTCATTCAGATTCTTGGTCTCGCCCGCCATGCTGCGGAAGCCATGGCGGAATTCGCTGGCACTCATTTCTTGTTCAAAAAGAAGCCCGCGCGTAGGCCCGCCTTCGTAGTCAACGCCGGCGGATGGTATTCCCGTGTCCCACCTAAACCACCAGAGCCACCACAGCCTCCATCGCCTCCTGCGCCGCCTGCTCCTCCTGCTCCTCCTTTGCCGCCTGCGCCTCCTGCTCCTCCTGTTCCTCCGTCTCCTCCGATTCTAGGATGTCCTCACAACACAGAGGATCCGCCCGTGCTCACGCTCCTGCTCCCGACTGCGTTCGACGAGTGGCTGGAGGAACCGGAAAGCAACAAGGCCCAAGATGTTGAGGTACCCAGCGCACCTTACCCTGGACCACGTTGGGGCCGGCCCGATGATTGCACCACGTGGGACGAATCTGCACTCGGAGCTGACGACGACGTGGCTGAGGACGAGGAAGCGAGCCGTGCTGACGGCGACGAGGAAGCGAGCCGTGCTGACGGCGACGAGGCTGAGGAAGGTGGCGCGCAGGGCGGCACCGCTGAGGATGTGTTTCCTGAGGGCGTACCTGGTGGCGACGACGACGACGGTGTCGAGTACTGGTCACGTGACGGGCTCCCCGAGGAACTGCCGATACCTTCCTTTCCACTAGCTAACCGCAAGCGACCCCACCCGTCTACCCAGAACCGTGATGCCCGCCCCCCCTCTCCCAGGCACAAGATCAGCGATCACAAGCGCAAAGGCTACACCGTTGCGGAGAAGTTGAAGTACGTCGCGATGCTGGATGTGGCAAAGTCGGTGCGCGCACTAGCTCGGGAGTGTGGGATTCACCGGAAGTGTCTCGCCAACTGGAAGGTGGCAGCGGGGTTTCTCAAAGAAGCACACTCCGGGCGGAAGCGCATGCACGGTCGCGGGCGGGCCTCGTGGTACCGCTCCATGGAGTTGAAGGTGTACGAGCGGCTCCTGGACTGGCGCCGCAAAGGAACCGCCGTGTCGGTCGGCCGTCTGCGGGAGTGGTCGAGGGAGTTCATGAAGATCCTCTACCCGGACGTCAAGTGGAGCGGGAGTCAGAGATGGTCGGAGCGGTTTCGGAAGCGGTGGAATCTGAGCGTCCGCATGAAGACGCGGGTTGCTCAGAAAACAACCGCTCGTAAGATTACGCCCCTTGCTTTTATGTCTAAGTTTCAGGTTCACTTACTAAACTGCCGTCTATCCCGCCCGCTTTCCCCCGTCTCACAGATCTTGCGGAGCAGTGCCAGAAATTCTGGCGTTTTGTCCGACACATGCGTCGCGCGCGCGGCATTGAGCCATGCTGGATCCTCAACGCTGATCAGACGCCGCTCTGGCTGAAGATGCCCGCCACCACGACCGTGGATCAGACGGGCGTACGGTCGGTGCCCATCCGGAGTGCAGGTTACTAGAAGGAGCGTGTGACTGTGATGCTGGCGTGCACGGCGGACGGGGCGAAGCTCAAGCCGTGGGTATTTTTCAAGCGGAAGACGCTGCCGAAGGGCAACTTTCCTCCTGGTAATAAGTAGCAACTGCCGCTGTCTTATCGTATCGTTTCTCATGCCGCGCTAAGTTTAAGTGCCATTTCTGTGTGCAGATGTGGTCGTGGCTTGCCACGAGAACGGGTGGATGAACGCAGAAGGCGTCATCCGCTGGCTTGAGGAGTGTGTCAAGCCCTTCTTGCAGCCCCGATTTGGCAGGTGTGCGAAGAGCTCTATGCTCGTGATGGATTCCTACCGCGGCCACCTTACCGAAGGGGTGAAGGAGAAGCTCCGCGAGATCAACTGCGTGCCTGCTGTCATCCCGTCGGGTTGTACGGGTGAGGTTCAGCCACTCGACGTCTCCATCAACAAGAGCTTCAAAGCATCTGTTCGTCAGCAGTACCAGAAGTGGTTTCAGGAGGAGGGCCAAGAGCAACTGACACCTACAGGTACGTTGTTTCCGTTAAACACACATGTTTATCCCCCTTTCACCCTTGGTCACTGACATGGCTTTCCCGGGTGTCTCTGTTGCGGTGCAGGGAATCTGAAGAAGCCCCCCCCCAGAAGTGGTCCTTCGATGGATTTCACAAGCCTGGAAAGCAGTACCCTCCGACCTCGTCAAGCGCGCCTTCCTCACCTGCGGCATTAGCAACGCGCTTGACGGCAGTGAGGACCACCTCGCCATGGCGCACAGGCGGAGCCAACTGACGGCGCAAGTGGATGTAGACGACGACATCATCGCCGACGGATTCTTCGGCAACAACTGCCAGGAGCCCGAGTCTGACGAGGAGTAGTTCCGGTAGAATAGCAGTTTAAGTCTAAAATTGTGTACCTAGGTAGAATAGCAGATTAAGTCTAAAATTGTACTAACTTGTAGTATTCGTTGAAGATAACGATGTTATAGTTGTTGTTTGCTTTTGTTGTAGTGGTAAAAAAAGTGTTAATATTGAGGGTGGCGCTTATAATAAGGAAGGGTACAAAAGGGGTGGCGCTTATAATCGAGGATCGGCCATAAGCGCCATGCTCCAGATAGAAGCGCCGGCGCCTGTAATAGGCCGGCGCCTATATCCGGGGCCATACGGTACAAGCAGAGACTACAGCAAGTGTGGAAACGTAGGCACAAGACCCAACAAAGTACAAAAGCGCTGATGGTCACCAGACGGAAGTGCCTTGGTGAATATATCAGCAGTGTTGGGCCGAGTGGCCATGTGAGCAAGGCGAAGCTGACCCCGCTGCTGCAACTCTCGAGCTAGGAAGTAACGCATAGCGATGTGCTTCGTCCTGTGCTCCAGTCTGTGCTCCTGACACAAGGCAATGGCGGCCTTGTTGTCTACGTACAGAACTGGAGGAGATCGAGGCCGCTCTCCCAGGTCGGTCAGCAGGTAGGTGAGCCAGCGTAACTCGTGTGCAGCCATGGCTGTGGCGTAGATCTCAGCCTCACAACTGGAGCTGAGAACAGAAGACGAGCGTGTAGACCGCCAAGAAACAGAGCGGGAGCCAAGGCTGAACGTGTAACCCTGTGACGACCGCTGTGTAGCCTGGTCGTCAACCCAAGAAGCGTCTGAGTGCCCAGTGAGGACAACAAGGCCCTCCAAGCACGAGCCCCATGCCCGATGTAATGCACAAGTAGCGCAGTACCCTCTTAGCAGCATCCATGTGCACCTTTCGGTGCCGACCAGGAGCCACGTAGCGAGCCAGAAGGCCAAGAGGGTACGCAAGGTCAGGACGAGTGCAGGTCATCAGGTACATGAGGCAGCCCACTAGCTCTGGGAAGGACCACTCGGCTCTACGGACTCGTCCGAAGGTGGAGCTGAGAGCAAGTGACCTGTAGCCAGACGAGTGCTGTGCTGAGGATCAGGTGAAGCCGAAGCGCTGAAGGACTTGCTGCACCATGTGTGACTGAGTCAATGTGATGGTGCGGCGTGCTCTGTCCCGGGTAATCTGCAAGCCAAGGTAGC